TCATCCATCCTGTAGGTGTCCTCTGTCCAGGGGTCCCTCATCCTTTGTGGGTTCATCAGCCTGTGGGTGTCCTCCATCCTTTAGTGGTCCTCCTGTTTCTAAGGGTCGTCCATCCTGTAGGGGTCTTCCATTCTGTAGTGGTCCTCCATTCTGTAGGGAGCCTCCGTTCTGTAGGGGTCCTCCATACTGTAGGGGTCCTCCGTCCTGCAGGGGTCCTCCATATTATAGGGAACCTCCATCCTGTAGGGGTGTTCCATTCTGTATGGGTCCTCCATACTGTAGTGGTTCTCTGTCCTGTACGGGTCATCCATCCTGTAGGTGTCCTCTGTCCTGTAGGGGTCCTTTGTCCTGTAGGGGTCCTTTGTCCTGTAGGGGTTCTCCCTTTTCAGGGGATTGTCCATCCTGAGGGGTCCTCTGTTCTGTTGGGGTCCTCCATCCTAGGGGTCCTCCATTCTGTAGGGATCCTCCATCTTGTAGAGGTTCGCTGTTCTGTAGGGGTCCTCTATTCTGTAGGGGTCCTCCATTCTGTAGGGGTCCCTTGTCCTTTAGTCCTGTAGTCCTGTAGTCCTGCTTTCAGGGGATCATCCGTCCTGAGGGGTCCTCTGTTCTGTTGGGGTCCTCCATTCTGTATGGGTCCTCCATTCTGTAGAGATCCTCATCCTGTAGGGTTCTCTTGTTCTATGGGGGTCCTCCCTTTTCTGGGGATTGTTTGTCCTGTAGGGGTCCTCCATTATATTGGGGTTCTCCATCCTGTAGGGGTCCTCCATTCTGTAGGGGTCTTCCATCATGTAGGTGTCCCTCATCCTGTAGGGGTCCCCCATCCTGCCACCTTTTTAGGCCAACAAACCCAATGAACTGTGTGGGGGATGACTCTCAGCTACCATCACACCAAAATTGACAGACTTACAGACAATTTTGAGTTTTCCAAGGTTGATTCTTTAGTCAGGTTGGAGGAGGCAGTAGACGAGTGAAGACACTGAAGGCCCAGATTTGAACATGTTGTTTACTGAAAGCAGACTCCTTCAGTGAGAATCGCTCGAGAGGTAAATTTTTCCATTAACTGGACCAAAAACATTATTTCACGCCTGTCCAACCGTGTTATCGAGGGTTTGATGTGGACCCAACAAAAGAAATTGGAACAAATTGTTTTTCTGTGGCGGGGCGAGCTGCAGATTTGAGGTTCTTTTGGACATCAGTTTATTTTGTTGTTTGTTATCAAGGACAGAAGATGTAGCAGGAGCTGTTTGTCACCTCGTTGGAGCGCAGATCTGTCAAACTTTGATCTTTTCATTGATTCCATGAGGTCGGAACAGATAGTTGTCTGGTATGCGTTACAGCTCTGCTTCTTCCTTTGAATTTAGGCCTTCCTGTGTGAGGTCAGAGGTCAAAGAGTTAGACCTCCTTCACTCTAGGTGATGACCCCCCTGATCTACACAACCTCTGAGAATGAAGCTGGATCAAGACAAATAAAAAACACCTTTTTGAGATCTGTCCATGTCCAGATCTGTCCTGTCGTTGTCTCCTGCTGTCTCCATGTTCCACAGATTAGCAGTCCAACAAGGAGCCTACACAACTCGTGTTTAACTTTAACAGATTATTTGATTCAATCAACAGAGAATCAGACATGTGACCTAAACAACATCCAAAGGTCATTCTGAACTTTATGCAGAACCTGCAGAGAGATTTGAGAGGCTCGGTTCAGGTCGGAGAGACATCACTCCATCTGTTCCTGACTGTAAAGGCAGCAGGAGATCACACACACACACACACACACACACCTACACGTCTCCATCATTTCAGAGGACACACTCTTGTCAAAAACGTCAGAATCATGATCACCACACCCCAAACCTTCACTCAGCCCATAAACCTTAAAAAAGTCTCACCTCCAAAATGTGATGATTTTTGTCATAGGAACTAGTTTTCTGTCCTTGAACAGGATGGAGGACACCCACAGGATGGTGAACCCACACAGGATGAGAGACCCACACAGGACGAGAGACTCCTACATGACAGAAGACCCCCTACATTACTGAGGACCCCAACAGGATGGAGGACCCCTACAGGACGGGGGACCGTTACGTACAAAGGATCCCTACAGGACAAGAGATCCAGGATCAGGGACTTCTAGAGATTGGAGACCCATACAAGATGGAGGACCCCTACAGAACAAAGAACTCCTACAGT